ATGAAAGCTGTTGAGTTATCTTCTTTCTTTGGAAAATGTCTGATCAACTCTGTAAAGCTACATATGCATGGTCTATTTATTGTGTTGCCCTTAATTCTGACTAGAACTGATTTCAGGCTGTATTCTGACAGAGGGTTTTAAATTAAAACCCCCCATTAAACTATTTACATCTAAACAGTCCTACCTTGGTTTTTCCCCAGGTTTCCTTTCCAAATTCCTCTGCTTCTTTCACATCGTCGGTAATCAGAAAGTTGTCAAAAATGGTTCCAGATTTGACCTTTCAATGAAAAAACAAACAAAACAAACAAACAAAATAAACAATGCAATATTATATTGTCGTGACATACAGATACATTATAAATTGATTTGTCTTGAAATAAATAAACCGCAATGTAGTTTCATTTTTACATGAAGGAAACTGTTTTGTAACATTTTATTTATAACAGACCCTAATGGGGGAGTAGTGTAGTATAATTACCTGCCACAGATCCAGGCCCAGGACTCCAATGTTGTTAAATTTATACATAGTAGCATCATGAGTGTACTCTGGGTTGTCTATCTCAGGGTGGACCCATGTTCCCTTGTAGTCAGGGTTGTCAATTTGTTTGGGTTTCCATTCCCCCTACAGAGGTATTAGAGAATAAGTTACATTTTTCCCCCTTTATACTAGTAAAAAGACCTCCAATGGAAATTCTTCACTTTTTCTGTAAACCTCAAGCAATGCAGCCCATACTTTATACTCTGAATTGGCGATCATGGGGGGCTCCCACTCTCCATCCATGTCCTCGTCCCAGTCATCAGGCTTCTTGGCATCAGGGTCAGGGATCGTCTCTGGCTTGTCCCAGTCCTGGAAGACAGCAGCACTGAAGTTACCAATCAGAGATGCCAATCAAAACAGGAATGTGACTTGTCCAAGAGTACAGATAGCTCCATCCTGGCTGTTCCAAGAAAAACAAGGAATGGCAACATTAATGTAAGACTGGATCAACATTATCACACCATATTTGGCACTATTCAGTGTATTCTGGCTGCAGTGAATGGCCTAATGAAATTATGTATTACAACAAAATTGAACAATAAGAAAATGCTCAACGTCATTAACACCATGTTCAAGGTTTTATTGTAAATTTGGGACTTCGATCTCAGAACATCTGTATAGCTTTATTGCAAGTAATCTAAAATCATTTTAAGTCATGTTACTTCAGGCTTTGTGTCACTGGGATCGTCAATCTCAGCCCTGTCATCCCAGTCGCTTGGCTTCTTAGCTTCGGGGTCCTTGATCTTCTTTAAGGGCAGCATGTCCCAGTCGTCCCCAAAGGAGCCAGACTCTACCTTCTCATTGTCGATCTTCACCTCATATGTCTGGTCTGGATTCACGATCAGCGTGTACAAGTGGGTCAGCTCATCATCCTGAAGGATGACATGGAGGGAATTTATGGTAAATCTCTAATAGATTCATGGTTTACAAAATTTAAAAAGGGAAATTATTTAACAGTCTTGGTGCATAGCTACCTTGCATTTGATGTCTTTCTTGATAAGATGGTTCTGACCCTTGTAGTTAATTATCACATGAACCTTTTTTGTGCTGTATCCACAAATGTCGGGCCCTGTGTACACAGGCAACATTATGATATGATTATATACCATGATTACAAAAGAAGGGCTTCATTTCGAACAGCTCAAAGTCAGATGGAAAAACATCATGTTCTGGTTTCAGGCTTCAGTGTCTGTCCAAGACTCACCAAACATGATGTAATACTGGGAGTCTCCATGCATGTCACTCTGGTCAAGATCATCGGGGAAGAGCTTGACGTAACCACCTCCACAGTCTATCTTCTGCTCATGCTTGACAGTGAACTGGATGACCAGGGGCTTTCCCTCATTGCTAAATGGCTCAAAGAGGGCTGACAGGGCATAAAAGTGGGCATCCTGGCTGGTCTGGATACCTAGAATGAGCACAAAAGTGATTATTATTATTATTATTATTATTACTACCAGTATAGACTGAATATAAATGCACAACTCTTTCTGATTTCAGTAAAGGCATGTAAAGAAGTATATTCTTAAAATATCCATATGAACACTGAGCAGCCTGAAATGCCTTAACAAAATGCTGGTATTCTAAAACTACATCTTGAATAGTAGGAACTGCACTAGAATGAAAACCATTGAATAATTAGGGATTTTTCACATGTTGAAGACCCATCCAGTCAAACAAACAGACCCCTGGCAAGCTGATTCTCACCCACGGGCCACATTTTTGACACCCTAAATTTCTTAATTCTATTCTTCTTTTGCACTAACAGAATTTTGTGGTTCAATGTTTCACTTCAACAACGTCAGAGATTCTAAAACCTGAAATAAAACCGTCTTTATTTTGTATCGGAAGAGGATTAGGGCCAATTAAAAAAAAGTGGACACGTCTTTTTTTTTCTTCTTTTCCAGAATTCTGAGAAAATTCTGACTTTAAAATCTGAGATTTAAATTCTGAGAAAATTCTGACTTTAATCTCAGAATTCTGAGAAAAAAGTCAGAAAAAGTCAGAATTCTGAGAAAAACAATTATGATGAA